CCCCCACTTTTTCTTGAAACACGGGGTCTCATCACGTAGCCCTGGAACTCTCTCTGAAGACCAGGCAGCCCCTCAACTCTGTGAGTCCTGCTGCCTCTGCAGCTCAGGGCTAGAATTAAAGATGTGTGCTATCATGCCCAGTCAGCTCCCCTTGATTTTATTACTATTTTTGGAAGAGAATTTTAACCTAAAAATATGTTTTATTTACTGTGTGTGTAGCATACTCAGTGTTGGCTAACAGGCTTGGCAACAGGTGCCTCTATGCACCGAACCATACTACTTCCTGGCCCTTTTTCATTTTCTGAGCTACAGTCTGATCAGGTTGCTCAGGGTGGCCTTCAACTCAGTCTGTAGCCCAGGTAAGCCCAAGACTTGTGCTTCTCCCAAGTTCAGAGATGGCAGGCCTGTGCCGGGCAAGGCCCAGATTCCCTCACATCTAGAATGACAGTTTCTCCCTCTCTAAACCTTTCCTTGAATTTAAAAGGAAAATGACAGTGCACTATCCCAGCTTCCATTTTGATCCCACCTACCTTTCCGACTGCTCAATCCATCCTCATGAATATTTGAGAAGTGCTTACTTTGTGTAAGATTAATTTTTTCCAGAAGAGAGGGGGAAAATGAGCACAGAGGAAAGCGGAGGAAGCAAGCAGAGACCGCACTACAGAGGACAAAGACAGACAGCTCAGGTGGGGAAGAAGAGGCAGAGCATCAGGTGAGGCTGCGCCTTGGTTTGCATATGTAAATAGTGCATCTCCTCCAGAGTGGGTGGTGGGCTGTCCCTAGAGAGAGGAAGGCTAGGAGGAGGCTATTTTACACCTTGCCAGATTCTGAAGGTGGGCTTGCGGGAACCCAGTGAGATGTCAGGAGGAAAGTGGAAGATTTAGAGGATGATGGATGTGGGTGGGAAGGTGACAGGCATGGAAGGGAAGTTGTAGGCTGAAGCAACACGCATTAACATGTATGAGGGATTTTGGGGTGTGTTCACTGATAGCTGTTTCCTTGGTGATTCAGATGTTAGATGTCCTTGGACACTAGCGTAGGGCTGCTCTGGTGTACAAGAATGTATGACCATTTTTTAAAAACTATGTGTGCTTGTACGTGTGTGTGTGGTGTGTGTGTGTGTGTGTGTGTGTGTGTGTGTGTGTGTGTGTGTGTGTGTGGTTGCTGGAGCAAGCCAGAGGGAAGGTGTCAGTTCCCCCAGGTGCTGAAGATCGAGGCGGCTGACAGCTGTCCAGTGAGGTACTGGGAACTGAGCTCCGGAAGAACAGCAATACTATTCACTTGTGAGCCATCTCTCGAGTCCCTGTGTGTGTGTGCACTAGGACCACTGGCAGGGCTGTGTCCCACATGCCTCAGGCTTGGATGGTTACAGGAAGCCAGCCTGGAACCTTTCTGTAGGAGCACTTACAAGTGAAGGGGCAGAGGCCAGTGCCCTTAAATCATTCACCATTCTACTTGATCCAGGCTTAGGGTATCTCTGGAAGATTCTTTCAGTTTGGAAGAATACCACTGTAAGGTCTGTTTATGCTTTTCTGGTTCTTCAATTTGATGAGAGCTTGTGTGATGTAATAATGTCATTTAAATATTACTGCAACAGCTTTGCCTATAATCCCAGCTACTCTAAAGACTGACACAGAAAGATCATAAATTTGAGCCTGACTGGGCTACAAACTGTGGGACCCTGTCTCAAAATAAAAAATTGCTAAGCAAAAGGCTGGGCGGTGGTGGCACACACCTTTAATCCCAGCACTCAGGAAGCAGAGGCAGGTGGATCTCTGTGAGTTTGAGGTGAGCCTGGTCTACAAAACTATGCAGAGGAACCCTGTCTTGAAAAAAAAATTGCCAAGCATGGTGGTGTACGCATGTAATCCCAGCACTCAGGAGTTAGGAACAAAAGGACTAGGAGTTCAAGCTCAGCCTTGGCAACACAGTGTTACATAGGAGCCTGGCTCAAAACATCAAAAATACATAAACAAAAAATATGTAGAAAAAGGCATATATACATAGCTCAGTGGTAAAACACTTGCCTAGCCTGTGTGAGGCCCTCATTCAATCCCAACTACTACCAAACAAATAAATCACATTACAATAACGACTACCGTTTGAATATCTCTATTCTAAAAATCCAAAGTATGGGTGGGTGTATACTGTAATAGAGTGCTTGCCTTATATATCCATGGGGCTTCGGGTTGATATTCAGTACTGAATGACATAAACAAACCAAACCCTCCTGGGCTTCGTGGCCCACGTTTATAATCCTAACATTCAGGAGGCTGAGACAGCAGGATTGCCGTGAGTTGAGGGCAGCCTGAGTTACATAGTGAGTTTAGGCTAGCCTAGGCCTAGCCTAGTGTTAAGTTATTTGTAAGAAACACACAAATAAACCAAAATGTTTTTTTGTTTTTGTTTTTTTGGTTTTTCCAGACAGGGTTTCTCTGTATTGTTTTGGAGGCTGTCCTGGAACTCACTCTAGACCAGGCTGGCCTCGAACTCACAGAGATCCACCTGCCTCTGCCTCCTGAGTGCTGGGATTAAAGGCGTGCACCACCAATGCCTGGCCTTGGAAATCGCAAATACTGTAGAAACTTCCCTCTTCCTTCAGGGGCTGGGGAGACTGCTGTCCTTTTAGAGGGTCCCAGTATCCATTTCAATCCTCTGTGCTGAGTTCCAGGGGCTCCAATACAAGCATCCACACCCATGTGCACACAGGCATATACATCGCTGTGAGTTCAGTGATGGTCTAGTTTAGACCAGCCAGGGCTACTTAAGTGAGACCCTATCTCAAAACAAAAAACAAAACAAACTTCCAAAACTTAAATGTGCAAACCAACCAATTTTCCCTTTGGTTAATGTTAGGCAACTCAAAGGCACTGGCAGGCTTGCAGGCCTCTGAAGATGGGCTCCACCCCCCATTACCTTATGAGAGGGTGGAGGTATCAGAACCTTGTTAAGGGCCTTCTTGTTCAGAGGAATGGGGTCTGGGTGGAGATGAGACACTCTGATTTGCCTTAAATATTAGAATTAAATATTAGAACATTTCACACTCTTGCCCTCTCCCCTAACAGTCAATCCAACTTAGTCCGCCAATCGCTTGGCCAGGATGCCAATTGTTAGGAAAGCTGATTCACCTGAAGACAAGCTAACGAAAGGGAGGCAGTAACTACCCCTCCCTTCCATGCTACTGGACTTGAGAGTCCCGGAAGCCTTCTGTAGTGCAGTTGCTTGCAGATGTCTGCACTGAGCCTGCCTGCGCTCCTGAGTGCTGGCTCAGAAGTCTAACTTTTCCTTTTCATTCTTCTTGGACACCTGCCAACATCCTAAGCACGCTTGCTCTAACTCTCTGGGCTTTCCTGCTGCTTCCTCTGAAGTCCTCCAATACCCACAGCTGCTTGCAGAGCTATGGCTGATCTAATGGTATGACTTGCTCCTCTTCTCCATCTCCTTCTTAAGATTACCCAGACCTTCAGCCTGACCTGTCCTTCCTCTCTCACATTTTAATGAAAGGCCTCAAGCTTCCTTTTAAGGCCATTTTGCCCTTTCCTTCCTTCCTTCCTTCCTTCCTTCCTTCCTTCCTTCCTTCCTTTTCTTTCTGGGTTTGTTTATACACGGGTTTCGCTGTGTAACAGCCCTGGCTGTCCTGGAACTCACTTCGTAAACCACGGGGCCTCAAACTCACAGAGATCTGCCTGCCTCTGCCTCTGGAGTGCCGGGATTAAAGGTGTGTGACACCACTGCCCAGCTTAAATTTTTTCCCCCAAAGACAGAATGTCATTGTGAGCTTTGGTTGACTTGGAATTCCATATGTAGATCAGGCTGGCCTTGAACTCATGGAGCTCCAATCTGCCTATGCCTCCTGAAGGCTGCAATTAAAAGGCCTGTGCCAACACAGGTAGCTTTGCTCTTAAATTCTTCTATTAGTGACACCAAGAATCTATAAAAGGGAACAACCTCAATTCCCCAGTAACACTATATGTTTAAAAGATATATATGAAACATGAGTTTCATATTTAGACTTCGGTTCTCTAAGATATCTCCTAAGTGTGCTGTCTCTGTCTCTCTCTCAAATTGAGAAGAGATACTCCACCTGTAGCTGTAGTAACTACAACAGCCCTTTAACATAGTGTCTTGTATATGGTAGACAGCATACAACCACTGAGACATTCCTAGTCACAATAGCCAACATCTTTAAACATTTGCACCATGTGGCAGCTCTGGCAAGTATGGCAACACTGACCCCCTGCTGCTGTCTGACAGCAGCATAGACACTTCTTCATCTGTCTACAGACATGGAAACAGAGAGGAGGTCAATACATTTTGAAGTCTCTTTTATAAAGCAGGACCTTGGAACAGCAAGATGGCTCAGTGGGTAATGGCACTTGCTGCCAAGCCTGATGACCAGAGTTTGATCCTTGGGCCACACATGGTGAAGAGAGAGATGACTTGTGTGTGTGTGTGTGTGTGTGTAGAAATAGATGTGTTTGTGTGTGTGTATGTAGAAATAGATGTGTGTTTGTGTGTGTATATGTGTATGTGTAGCCAGCATGGTTGTACACACCTTTAGTCCCGGCATCCAATCACCAGGGAGGCAGAGGGAGGTGTATTACTGTGAGTTTGAAGCTAGCCAGAGTTACATAGTGAGGCCCTGTTTCAATGATGATGTTGATAATAAAGTAAGATGTGCTTGGACCTTGGGTGGCCCAGCCACAGGGCCTCTGCTCTTGGCTAGCATACAGTTTGCAGAGGACTTTTGTTTGCTCTCCTCTGTGTAACAACCCTAGCTGTCCTGGGACTCAAAGAGATCCACCTGCCTCTGCCAGAACACTCTGTATGAGAAGTTGGGGGCTGAGTAGGGCTATTTGAATGATGTCTGTTTATGTCTCTTCAAGTGCAGAGTTGGAGAGATGGCTCAGCAGATAGCTGTGGTACAGGCTACACAGCCTGAGTTTGATCCTAAGAACCCACATAAAGGTGGAAGGAGGGAAGTGGTGCCACAAAGTTGACCTCTGACCTCCATATACACTAACAAAAAATAATTTTAAAAAAAGTTAAAAGTCATGAATTCCATCAAGTAGAATGATGTTACTAAGAGAAAGAAAGGAAGGAAGGAAGGAAGGAAGGAAGGAAGGAAGGAAGGAAGGAAGACTTGGACTTGCAGGTATAGGACTGTCAATACCCCATCACCAAAAGAAAACCCAAAACTCACAGCTGTGTAGTCAGACAGACCTGGTGTTGGAGTCCTGTCCTGTGTGGCTTAGGCCTCAGTTTCAGGTCTTTTCACACGTGATAAAGAATGGCAAGTAGTATGTCATGGAGTTTCGTCCCCCTTTTAGACTAACACCTTGGACAGTCAATAAAATAACCATCACTTGCTATTCACATGCCTAATTTCCCGATGGGGGGGTGCAGGAAATGACTGCTCTTTGACTGCGTGTGGCAGGTGGGGTAGGCGCCTCTTGAATGTGCTACCTCAGGCAGGCACGCCCTAAAGGCCTGAGGCTCACACCTATGCTGGCCCTACCTTTCCATTCTGCATCTTGTGGTCTGCTGCTGTGTGCCTGCAAGTGCTTGGTGGCCGGCTGGCGGCTGGCAGAGTGTTTGGGGTGGTGGTAATTACTAGGATGGCCCGGCCCTAATGAGTGTGATCTCGTTACACTCTTGCTGCTTCTAATGGAGCTAACCTCATTTCACAGCCATTAGAGATGGAGATGAGGCCCCGCCCACAGGCCCCACCAGCTGCAGCTTTCAAAGATTTGGCCACGCTCTGTCCCCTGCTCCCCATTCTAGCTCACCTCTCCTGTCAGCCCTCTCCCTCGTCTTCCTCCTGGGCCCCATTGTTCTTTTCTGCGCCCATCTCTCTCCCTCTCTCTCCCCTTAGGTTTCTCTCCGGTCTCCATCTCTGGGCTGCTTTTCTTCCGCCATTGCCTTGCACACGGTGTCTGACTCTGTCCTTCACATGTCCTCCTCTGCCCTCTCTGGCACCTTCCCCTGCCCTTCGCCTCTGCCGCCCTCCCCCCCCCCACATTGTCCTGTCTGGCCAGAGGACAAATCTCCCGGGGAAGCCAGCAAAGACAAACAAAAAGCAGTGACTTCATTATGTTGGTTAATTTGCCACTTCAGTCCCTCCCATAAGGGTCATAACCGGCGTGGCTTGAACTCAGGACTGACCTGGAGCTGAGTTAAGACCTTGATGTTTTCACACATGATCCCTCACCCTCCCTCCTCTCGGGCTGTCTCCCTTGGACTAGACGGGTAGGGAAGGGTTCAGACTACCCCACCCTCCTCCTCTGGGGTTCTCCCCCCTTTTTCATGCCAAAGTCACTTCTTCCTCTGGAAGAGGCCTGGGCTGGCCTCAGACTCCCTACACAGCAGAGGGTGGCCTCGAACTCTCAGCTCTGCTTCCACTTCAAGCGCCGAGGTGACAGGCACGGATGCGCCGCCATGCCTGACTGTCCAGCGCCTTTTTTTTCTTCTCTGCTCTTTTCTCTCCCACTCTCCAGTGCACTTCAGTCCCTAAAGCACCGGGCACCACATGGTCTGAGGAAGCCTGAGGTGGAAGAAGAGGGCTGTGGCCTGGGAAGGCCAGTTTTCCAAACGGGATGAGGCGGCCAAGGAGGGAAGAGGCTTGGGGGAGAAGAGGGGAGACCGGAGGAGCAGATTGGAGGTAAGGGGCAGAGGACCTTTGGCTTGTATGGCCAACAAACAAGGGATGATATTTAGAGTATGGAAAGGAATTTACTCCATGTTTTCTCTCTGAGGAAACAATCCAATCCTCGGCCTTCCTTCGTTAAGAAGCCAAGTGATGGGCAACGGACTGTTGATCTTTCGCTCAAACCCAGTCTCAAAGGGAGATGGTGAGGGTAGTTAGCTGGGCCTGGAGACTGCACTGGGGAAATGTCCACATGTAACTAAAAATTATGGCCCACGCCGGGCGTTGGTGGCGCACGCCTTTAATCCCAGCACTCGGGAGGCAGAGGCAGGCGGATCTCTGTGAGTTCAAGGCCAGCCTGGTCTACAGAGTGAGTTCCAGGACAGCCTCCAAAGCCACAGAGAAACCCTGTCTCGGAAAAAAACAAAACAAAACAAAACAAAAAAAAACAAAAATTATGGCCCACATCATCCTGTCTCATCAGCTCGGCACTTCAGGACGCTATAGACCCTATGTGCACATGCCTTGACACTATGGTCTCTAGATGGTGTATGTCCCCATGCATGCAGCATTTTGGTAGATGGCCCTGTTGAGAATTTCAAGACCTGAACTTTAGCTCTAAAGTAACCCTGTATTCCTGCCCAAATTCAGCAGGAAACTCCAGTTTTCTCACTTGCGGGGTGCCGAGCTACCTTGGTAGGAAACAGAAAAGAAGCTGAACATAATGCTACATGCTTATAATCCCAGGATTTGGGACAAAAGATAAAGAATCCAAGACTCAGGAGCCAGAGGTAAAAGTATCACTGTTAGTGAAGGCCAGCCTGGTCTTCATAGCAAGTTCCAGGCTAGCCACAACTATACCGCAAAACCTTGTCTCAAGGAAAAAGGAGGAAGAAAGGAAGGGAGGAAAGAAAGGAAGGGGGGATGGGAGGGAGGAAGGAAGGAAACTTTTGACGTCCCCATTCTACCAGTAAGTTTTAACACAGGAGTATATCCACCATCTGGACATCATCTCCAAATCTTCCACCCCTGCCTCTCGGCCGGGGGTGGGCAGAAAAGGGACTGGTAGGCAGTTAGTTCATGAGGCTTTCCCAGAAAGCAAAGGGGCCCTGGGAAAGCGGGTGGTGGGATGCCCGAAGCTTAGTGTGAGGAGTCTGAGAAGAAAGATGGAAAAATCAATGAAATGAGTTTCTAACAGTGAGGTAAAGGACCGCCGTGTCGACAGCTTGTCACCTGCTGAAAATATGAGCTGTCCAAGTCTGTGTCGGCTGCTGACAGCACACTGGCTGCCACTGTCCTCTCCCCTCACCCAGCCCCACCGCCTGCTGCTACTGGGCCTTGCTTTTTACAAGCCACACTCTCTCTTCCTCGCCTTTCCGTCAGCTTTCTTAACTCTTCCAGGGTCATCAGCCCTGGTTTGATACACCTTTCTCCTGTACGGCTTCCTTCTGTAGCTTCACTCTGAGACTGCAGTGAGCTCTGTATCGTGATTTTCTTCAACAACGGGCAGTCAGATGTGAAGGTCTTTTCTTACATGGTTGTTTACACCAAGGTCTGGGCAGCAGTGAACTCCTCTCTTATCTTCTGACCCACCTGGCCAGTGTTCGAGTCCTTGTAACCACTTTGAGACAGGTGTTTTACGGTGGGCCTGGTATGGATTTATGAACTTTTGTGCTCACTGTGTATGCGTGTGTGCGTGTGTGCGTGCACACCTGTGTATCTGAGCATGGCTGATTCAGTTTTAGCTTCATGACAGGGAATGGGGTGGAGATGCTATTTCAGATTTGCCTGCTCTTTGAAAACACCCTGGGCTTGTCCTGGAATCTGCTTCTCTATGCTCCTCTGCATCTTCCCTGGGTTCCAAGGATGGCTCATTCACGGGGTTTCTTCACATTATTTCTATAGACTTCCCTGGTCTACCCTGAGAGTTACTCTGGCTCCCTTTAGCCCCTAACTCGGTCTCTCTTCTCTACCCCCAGGTCTGCTGGTCATTCCCTCTCATTTCTGATTTCCCAACTTAACTATGTATGTAGACTGAGGTCTGAGAGATAGGACAGGAGTCAGGACTCTCTGAACATTTACTCAACGGGTATTTATGAATATCCATGTGACAGACACTGCCAAGTGTTACAAAACAATTCGAAACTAGAGGTAGGCATGGTGGCTCAGATTTAAAATTCCAGAACTCAGGAGACTGTAGCAGGAGCATCTATCTACTCAAGTTCCAGGCTAGCCTGAGCTACATATACAGTGAGACCCTGTCTCAACCCCCAACCCGTTCTCCCTGCAAAAAAGGAAGAATGTGATTAGAAGCAGCCTCTGCTCAGAAAGCTGACCAGCCTGTATCTCCCACTCTGGACTCTCAAAATAAAGGGGCCTTTCATCTTCAGTCAAATATCACTGTGCCCGCTGGTGTTTCAAAACTCTCCACATTCTCTCAGGTGGCATCTACACTGCCACTGCTCTGGTCCTCTGGGTCCCCAGCCTTGCCTTTCACTCCTAGACCCCAAGCCAGCTCTCCTTCTAGTTCACAAAGCCTCTTTCCTGTTCTGGGGCTGCCATCTTTAGCTCTCTTCCTGTTTTCCATGCTCTCTATCCCAACATCTCCACCTCGGTGCTCACTGTCTCTTGAGGTCACTTCCTCTGGCTTTTGTCAGGATGTAGCAAGCCTCAGGCACTCACAAAGTAGTGTGTGACAATTGTCCTGAGCTAAGAATGGCTGCAGAGAAGCTAAGTCACTGCTAGAGACAGGAGTCCCACAGACATGACTCCATCCGGCCCCCGTGCCACATGAGACGCAGAGGGGCAAGGTGTTCCTGTACGGGCCTCAATATGGTAGCACCAGCTGCCTCTGACATCATGGGGGAGGGATCCTGTCAGGTTGCCAAGGCAACCCAGCAATTTATGACATCAGACGCTTGAAGTCTTTGGTTCTCAGGGGGCTGGGAAGATTCAAGTTCCTGTCATTTGAAGTAAATGGGGATTCTACTTCTTCATCTCTTTTCTGTGTTCTCCTGGCTTGGCAATAAAATACAAAGTGACTGATGAGGCTGATGGAATGAATGCTGGCGAGACTCTCTTCTGTCTCTTCATCTCTGTAATTTCTTTCCTCATAAGCATCTCTTTTAGGGCCCAGTGATAGTCTGCTGAGCCATTTTTTGCGAACTGCTCACCCGCTGCAGAGCTGTCTCTTGGCCGTGGCCCTGCTGTGTCCTCCTCACACTGGAGTCATCTGTCTCCTTTGATGCCCACCTCTCTCCCCCCTTTCCAGGGCTCTGATCTGCTTCAGCACTCCTGCCTTGGCCGTCCGCTTAGCGGCTCTGTGCCCCTCTTTCCCACCTCGCCTCATCCCCTAGCTCTTCCCTTCCCCACCGCCACTATACTAATGCCACACGCCTTGTCGACTCCTCCTGAGGAGTAGTCACCTTTCTCTCCCACTGTACAGCGATTAACTCATATTCACTCAATTACATTTCTCAGTTTTTCATTAATCGCTCCTCAGTTCCTCCCCTTCCTTACTCATCCGGAATAGAGTCTCATCATTCTCTTTGGCCACACGTTTCTTTAACCCTTGTGTTTACTGAACCTGCTCTCCCCTTGCCTCCATCATCTGCCTACAGCTACCTCGTTTTCATCCTTTGTAGCTCTTGGGGTTTAGAAAAATAATGGTGGGTTTAAAGCCACGATAAACTCTCCAAGTTCTTTATCCACGTTTACCATCTTTAGACTGAATGAACATATAGCCCTTGCATAAGACAGGTTTTCTGAGAATAACAAATAACAATAAAGAATGTTGCTAAATCCAAAGAGAATAATAGCAGGATCCCATGAAGAAAATTAACTAAAAAGTGAAGAAAAAGCCACTGATATCTAGAATGAACTAAAAGAATGGGGGCAGCCCGGGCAGGGTGGAGCTAAAGAGCATCCCCTTACAAAATTAAAGTTGACAGTTAACTGACATAATGGAACTGACGGATGAAGGAGTTACATGCCCCTGGAAGCCCATTACATTGATTTTTTGGCCTTTTTATGTGCCTTCACAAAACAGAAGCCCCATGTCTCACCCATCCCTTTGCTGGTGGCATCTTCTGCTGCTAGGGTTAAAATGCTGGGTAACAGGATATGGGTTAAAAACAAAAACGAAAAACAAACAAAACCAACTTTGGTTGACCAAGGAGAAGAGGGAACAAAGATGGAGACTATGAAAGGGAGCTCATCAGATAAAGGGTGTGAAGCAGGGTGAAATAACCTGGTGGGATAAAAAGATGTATACAATGGCAGAGTGGGGGAAGGGAGGAAAATCAAGTCAGCAAGGATGAGGTTTGTGGTGGAGAGGTCCTGGAGAAGCAGGAGGCACAGTGGAGACCCAAAGGCACATGGCGCAGTTCCAAGGCTTCCCTGCTGGAGGTGAACAGGAGGCTGTCGAGCCCATACCGAAAGGGCACTGGAGTCATTAGGGGTAGACACAGCCATCCCCCTACTTTTCAGGCCCTGACCATAGACTACCACAATCATGGCTGATAAGCAAACTCCAAAGTAGCTGAAAAGGCCACTGTGGTGCAGATAGACCCTGGAGGAGAGCCGGGGAGGACGAACAGTAGTCAGTCTAGGCGTGACACAGGGACAGGGGTAAGGATCACTCCCAAGTGTCAGTCAAGACAGCGACACAGAACTGGATAGAGATGGGGTGGGGAGCCAAGTGAAAAATGGCTCAACCACAGATGAGTGGGGGCGCAGGCACAGTGAGAAGCGTGGTCCAGAGCTCAAAAATGACGAGGGGCACAGGAGAGCCGCCGCGGGAGAAGCAGGGGGAGAGCGGGTGGAGAGTCGCCACGGGAGAAGCAGGGCAGGCACGCTTCACTGTGAATGGGGCTCCCCTCACCTACTTCAGGCAAAAATGAACATTAAAGGTATCCACTCCCCCTTCCACCCCGCACCCCGGCGCGCTAGCCCATCCATCAGCCTTCCTGCCCGGGTTTCTCCCCATCCCGCAGCCAGCTGAGCTCCTCTGTGCCGCAGGCCCCTCCCGGCTACAGCTCAGAGCTCTGGCACTCACCCGGCCTCCCATTCCCTCCAGGAACCCCGCTCCTGGTCAATCTCGGCGCGGTACGTCTAGGCTGTCGCTACCCGGTCTGTCTGTGTGGCCCATATCTTTCCCTTCTCCGTTTCTCCACCCCTGCCTCTCTTCTCCATTCCGGATCGCACGCCCTTTCTCCCCCACACTCCTGTCCCCTTCTTCCCGGCTGTCTGTCGGTCCGCGTCCCCTCCCCCAGCCCCTTCCCGTCCCTCTCCGTCCCCTCCAGTAGCAGTCTCCCAGCGCCTCCTCTCTACTCGATCTCGAGATTCGAAAGAGCATGGAAGGGAATGAGAGTGAGAGGCAGAGGGGGGGAAAAAAAAGAAAAAAAAAACCCAACCCAGCAGCATCGGAAATCGATGCACTTACACCTCAGCTGGAAGCAGGGACGGGAGTCGAACCGCGGCCGCCAAGCAGCGCGAGGCGGGGAGGGGAGGGGGCGGCTCTTGGAAGGGACTTCTCCGATGTGTTGATTCCTTTTTTGCCCCTCCTCCTCCCTCCCTTCAGCGCTCGCTCCGGGGCGTCGGGGACGGAGATGGAAAAATAAATAAATTCACGGCGGTGAGGGAAGTGAAAGAAAATAATCAATGCTATTTGGCTGCGGCTGAAGTGTTTTCCCGGCTTCGTGAGTGGGTTTCCATTGATTCACCCTGGGCACTGGCTTGCTCCCTGTCTCCTCCTCCTCCTTGCCCTCCTCCTTCTAGCCCTCACTCCTCCGCCTCATTCACTGGCTGGAGCCGAGGCGTCCCACACAATGGAATAATCAATACCCAGGCGCCCGGGGCAGCCCCACTGAGCAGGTGCAGCGACCCGCCCGCCGCAGTGCATGCCGGGAGCTGTAGTCTCCAGGCCTCCGCCCTCCAGAGACGGCTAGCGCCAAGTCTACCCGCGTCCCAGGACGCAAAGACCGGGTAGGAGCGAGGATCTTGGGGCGGGACAAGCCAACCTTGCCATCTGACTTCTTCCTTGACTCGGGCGCTGGGTCTAACCTATTCCGGCAAAAGGGGTAGGTCCCTTTAAGCACTCGTCCCCTCCTCTTTCCAGAAACTGCGTTTTGTTTTAAGTCACTATCAGAGCAAGCTGCCCAGCAAGCTGTCGGAGGTCCATTACTATTTCACCCCCTTCTAGCCTTATCATTTCCCCCTTGGCTACTAGAACCTTCTCTGTCATAGCAAGTCTCCCTCACTACCCCAATTGGGTAGGGAGAGGGAGGTTCTCTTTCTCCTCTTCAGTTTGTCAGCTCGTCAACCCTTTATATTCTAATCTCTAACATTCTAGAACAGTTTACAGGAGTCCGTTTTATAGTAGAGGAAACCAAAGATTACGGGCTCGGGATTGCATGGCACATGGCAAATAAACAATAGTACCATTATGCAAACCTCAATGGCCGGACTCCAGAGCCCAAGCTAGCTGCTATGGCATATTTTTTTAAATGACAGCAACAGCAAAGACTCCTGAAATTGAGAGTGGGGAAGAAACCAGCATCTTTCCTACCATGTAACAGCTGAGTTTGCTAATGAATCTTCAATCCTATAAGTGGGAGGCAGACCACTGAGACTCGGGGAGGTGGGTAGCATGTCCAAGCAATGGTTACTGAGTAGAGTGGTCGACTTTGAGTTTTGCTGCAGGGTCCAATACAGAGCAGATGAGAAGAGTTGGGGTCTGGGACATTTCCTCCCCACGCAGATCTTTGGCTTTACTTTTCAGTCTTGTTGACCCATAAAGCTGTGATATTTTCTGTGTTCTGTAAGATCTAGCCCAGTAGACCAGAAGCAGCAGTTTCTGTAAGGCCACCTCATGTTTAAAATGCCATGCCTGTAAACCAGGGACCTCCCCCCCCTCCCGTTTCTATACACATAAGGGCATAAGGGAGCAGGTGTCACACTTGTCACTTATCCTGGAAGCAAATCTAGAAGTTCACAGTGTCCTCCCTCAGAGGCACACACAAAATTAAGGTCTATAAATACGCTACAGCGTTAGGGTAAGGCTAAGGGTCTGTCTTTGTTCTGGAAGCAGACTCTGGAGAGTGACTTCTATGTCTTTCTGTGTTTACTTTTGCTTGTTTTTGTGTTTGTCTTTTCCAGACAAGGTCTCACCCTTAGCCCAGGATGGCCTGGAAATCAGTGTGCAGCTCGGGCTGGCCTCAGCCCTCCCTGATGCTGGAGCTACAGTTGTGAGCCTGGCTACTTCCCTTACTCCTGACAGGGGCAGCTCAAGGGCCTCGGGAAATGAGAAGGCTTAGTCTGGCACTCATTCGTGGCTTCTTTTCAACCTGCCTCTCAAGCCCTCATCTGCTCAGATACTGACGAGGTGCTGTAGCTAGCCTTGGGGCCTTTACCCAGGCAGCTACTCATCCACCTAGGTCTACAGCAATCAAAATCCATTACATTCTTTTCTCCTCCTCCTTTTCCCCTTAGAGTTAATAAAAAAAAAATCAGTGTTTTGTCTGTAGTACCGGAGGAGTCCAGAAGAGGGCGTCAGATCTTCCTGTGACTTAGTTAGACAGGTGTGTTTGGCCATTTAAGTGCTGGCAAGGTAACCCTAAAGGAACAGCAAGTGTTTTTAAGTGCTGAACTGTCGCTCCAGCTCCCCCATCACATCTCTAATTCACATTCAAAATACCACTTCCTCCGCTGATAGAAAGCTTCCCACTCACCTTTATCCTAAACATTCGTAGCCGTTTGTATTAGATCCCCTCTAAATTCCAGGGTAGAGGGAGGCTCACACGTGTAACCCAGCACTCCGTCTAGAGAGGATTAGGAGTTCCAGGCTAGTTTCAGTTACGTGAGATCCGTGTGTCAAAAAATAATAAGGCATAAGAAGCATTCCAAGTGGCTAAACTGGATTACTTCACTCATGCTCTACCCCGTCGCCCTGGCCAGGCAGCCCTCAGTGGGCAGCCGTGAACTACGGTATCCGACGGGCTTGTGTCTGATGGGTTAGGCCCACCCACAGTCACGCCGGGAGGGGCTGGGGACTGGAGCCTAAGCTCCTAGCATTCTGCTCTTCACGTTGGCCACCCCCAAGTCCCCGCCGGTTAAGCTTTAGGTAGAGTCCGGCTGGCTAACACTAATTGCATGCTTCTGATCACCATAGCGACGGGTGGGCACGAAAAGGTGAGGCGGCCCTTTGGAACTACATCTCCCATCATGCTTCAGGCCCAGGGTGCCAGGCTCACGCTAAGGCTCGAGATCTTGGCTGATACCCGGGCTCCAGGAAGGATCCAGGGATGAACGGCGGGCGAGAGGATGTTCTCGCTCCTCTTGCCTACCGGGTTGGGTCGCACATAACCTAACAGACCTCTCGGGCCTACCGCCATACCGGTCTAATATGGCCGCTGGTGCTAGGACCGGACCCGCGCGTAAAGGGCCTGGGCCAAGGTCCGGAGCCGGAGATTTCTCCCGGCATTCCTCGCGGGTGTAGCGTGGGTTCCCTTCCCCCATTTCCGGGTCCCTGGAGAGGGAGACCCCGGGGTCTTGAAGAGAGTTCTGAGGTTCAGCTTGGTCGGTCCTGTGCGAAGAAAAGACAGGACATCCCGGGCAGTGGATGCAGGGAGAAGATGTTGAAAGGTCACCCGCATCACGGCCTGCTTTCTAGGGGGCCTTTTGGGTTGAAGTCACTATCAGTACTAGGATCTGACTGGACACCTGTCACTGTTGCAGCACGCCGAAACCTCGAAGTAGAGCCTTTGACCACCGAGGCAGAACTCTGAGATAGTGTGTGCGCCTCTTAAAGTTCACCCAGGACTAGGGGGTCTCTGCTGAGCACACAGTGAATTCTTTGCAAACTTGTGTTGCAGGTAACATGGCTCAGGGCTTGATTGAAGTGGAGCGGAAGTTTGTTCCGGGACCTGACATGGAGGAAAGGCTGCAGGAGTTGGGGTGCACTCTGGAGCATCGGGTCACCTTCCGAGACACCTACTATGATACTTCTGAGCTAAGCCTTATGCGGTCTGACCACTGGCTGCGACAACGACAAGGCAGTGGGTGGGAGCTCAAGTGTCCTGGAGTAGCAGGCGTCCCAGGACCCCACAATGAGTATGTGGAGCTCACATCGGAATCTGCAATTGTGGCCCAGCTCTTTGACCTGCTGGAGGCTGAGAAACCAGAGATGGCCGGTGTGGCTGCTGTCTTGCATCCATTGAAGCTGCAAGAAGTGGCTAGTTTTATAACTACACGGAGTTCCTGGAAGCTGGCCTTATCTGAAGGCCATGAACAGGAGCCCCTGCTCAGAGTGGATCTGGATTCGACAGACTTTGGCTATGCTGTGGGTGAGGTAGAGGTCATGGTGCATGAGAAGGCTGAAGTGTCAGCTGCCCTAGAGAAGATCTTCAGCTTCAGTAGACTACTTGGTGAGAGAGGCAGACCCTTCTGTGCACAGCAGTATGCTTGGCGAGGGAGACGAGCTGTGTGATGCTGTCCCTGCTTCTCCTTAACCTCACTGGTGGAGCCATCCAAGTGACAGAGTAGTGAAGAGTCAGAATCATTTTATTTTCCCGAGACAGGGTGTCTCTGTGTAGTCCTGGCTGTCCTGGAACTCACTCTGTAGACCAGGCTGGCCTGGAACTCACAGAGATCTGCCTGCCTTTGCCCCCTGAGTGCTGGGATTAAAGGTGTGCGTCACCACTGCCCGACTCAGAATCACTTTTATAAAGGAAATTTCTTGTAGCAATTTTCTCAAAGAGCCAGTTTGTTTATACTTCCATAAAGTCATTTTCTATTTTATAGTGGCTAATTTGGATTTAATTCTTGTCTCCACTCTTTATCCTAATTATCACCTCATCTAATTCTCCTAGTTGTGTTTATCAGGCCTCCGCTTTGTTCCTTTCCACAAGCTTCCATTTTCTCTTTCAACTTCTGACATCCCCATTATTCCCTTGTCCTTTTCTTGGGTCTTCTACATAAGCCAGGCAAGGCCTTAAACTTGTGATCCACCCCAGTGCTGGGGGTACAGGTGTAGGTGACCACACCCTCTTGACTATGCTTTTGGCTTGAAGTAAATATAAGAATGTTCTATTTGTGTGAGGCAGGGGGGTGCTATGGAAGATTTTTCTGTTTCCATGCCTAGCTCCGCTATAGACAGCTCATCCCAACACTGAAGGGTTTATATACCCTGCTGGTCCTGACAGCCCCGGAGGGCAGAACCTCCTTAGAAACCACACTTGGCGTGTCCTGCTGTGGGCCAGCATGCCGTGTCCATTAACAACACCGGCAGTAGGCAGTTAGAAGGGAGATCCCGGGAACAGAACGCGGCAGCTCCTGCTCTCCTTTATTTTCCGTAGCGTTTGGTTTCCTTCTGTGTCTCACCGCATGTGCTTCATTACTGAGCTGATGAGCTTTGGCTTGCCTAGGTGGGCTTGAATCTTGACTGGGAGAGAGGGGTAATAAGTGAAATGAGTTGGTTCCCCTGTCTTCATGGCATTTCTCACTGCCAGAGGAGAGGCGTGTCACACAACCAGTGCATGTCTGGGGTCTCACCTCTGCAGGCCAGCAAGGGAGGGAGGCTTAAGAGGAGCTGCTTGGGTGGCGTCTGGATTCTTAGCACTGCTTTGCAAACTTTGGGAGTCCTGGGTGGGCGGGAGCCCAGTGAAAGTGTGTTCCGTGGCTGCGTGTTTCTGTCCTTATTGTCCACTTGCCTGCAGGAGTAGCAGCACAGGAGAAGGTACCCGCCAAGCTCTTGGTGTACCTACAGCGCTTCAGGCCCCTGGACTATCAGCGCCTGCTAGAAGCGAACGGTCTCAGTGAAGCCACAGGGGACTAAACGTCGTGACTGCAGTTTATGGGCACAGGGCTCACTTTGTAGGAGGGAAGGGAGCTCTGTGAAGCCGCCACCCACACCTGGACCCACCGTGCCCCTTCCCTTCCAACACAGCCGCTCTTGTCTCCAGCTCTGCCTGGTCTTTCACCCATTCTCAGCTCCTCTTCCCTGAGCCCTCCCTCACTGCTTCCCTCATCTGTCAGATGCAATCTGTGGGCCGCCCCTCTCCCCTGGCCGCTAAGCAGCCTCCATTGATTTCCGCTCGTGTTTATAGGATTTCCACTTAGCCGTGATCAGTAGTTAAGCACAGGAAAATCCCTTGCCACCCCCCTCCCGTGGTCGATGCCATTGATTCTGCCAGCAGTTCTGAAGCCGCCTAACAGCTGAGTTAGAGATGCTGGGAGGCAGCAGGGATTTCCCCGCCTTGGGGTGTAGGGAATAGCAACAAAGTGGGGAAATGCTTGGGAACTTCTGTCAGAAATCTGGAAATTCTGCTGGGTCTGCCACTGTGCTCAGAGGGTAGAGCACCCTGCGTTTAGAGATAAATTTGCCCTCCAACCCAGAGAGGGGTAGAAAGAAAATCATCAGTGTTGAGACAGGTTCCTGGGGTTTCGGGAAGTCATACTTCCTGTGGAGAAGGCTCTACCCTTGTTCCTACACATTTTCTTCTCACTAGGTCAGAATATGGCTTTCTGCCCCCCTCAGGTTTCACAGGCTTCCTTTATTTGTCTGGGAGGAGGCAGTCTCTTCAGATTGTGGTGTTAAATACAGGGCTGGAGTGCCACCTGCTGTCAGCCCTCAGGGCTGAGCCTCCCGCTGAGAGCGCAGAAAGGTTTTAGGTGAGCTGAGGCAGTTATGAGGCAGGCTAGTTCAGGCACAGTTTAGCCGCCTGGGACTGCACTTGGTTTGGGCTCTCATCTAACAATGCACTTGCTCTCTGAGGATCCTCCCTGCGTACGCACATCCTTCTAACTACGCAACCTAGGACCCCCACCTGTATTGAGTTTATGTCCCACTTCCAGCAATGGAATAGGTCTCTCCTATTTGATAACCCTAGCAGGCATCAAAAAGTACCCTTGTGTGGACAGTTTTTATTCAAGCATTTTAGAACATACCATAGTTTGAAAAATAGGGAGCTGGTTGGGTCTAGATGGGTTTGGGTGCAAGCAGGGTAAGGCAGAGTGTCTTTCCGGTGAGCTTTTAAAGAGAACTCCTAGTTACCATCCCGCGCCTATGCAGAATGAGCATATGATTAAAATTAGATGCATCATGGGAAGGGTCATGCACAGTGAGGAAAGGCTTACAGAATCCAAGCCTGTCAATCAAAATAGAGACCACTCAGATTATGCCACTTAGCAATGAACTCCTCCTTCCCTAAGACCCCATTAAAGCAGCATCGGGCAGTAACCCTGGGCCCTTGAGTACTGTGGCCATTGCTCTTAGTGTATTTCTGATTTGAGTTATCACTTTGCTGTTGAATAAAATTTCCTTGCTACTGGCCATTTATGTGCACCTTTATTTCCATTCCTCGAATAAAACACCAAGAGCCTGGAAACACGTAGGCCAGACACAGACCACAGCAAGTTACTGCCATGTTTCCACCGGCAAGTTATCCACCTCAAAGATCTCCTGGACTGGCTGACCAGAGTGGTTGTAGGTGAGGCGCAGCTTTAGTCGCAAAGTCGCCTAAAAATAGGAAAGCAGAGACCAGGGTTAGGTCCCTGCTTGCCCCCATCTCTCCTATCCACAGGGTCTGACGGCTCACCTTGTTAGGATTGAGGATTCTGAAGACCTGGGTGACAGGAAGGCCACCCTGGGCTGGAATTGTGTCCCCACTGGGAGCCTGTAGTTGCATCTGGAAACTCTGAGCATGGGAGATTTGGGGAGAGCACAGTGAGGCCTCTGCTTGGGCTCAGGCAGGCAGTCCTCCACACCCAGTGGCTCCCAAACAGTTTTGGGTACCCCCCCCAATAACTGTCTGCATCACCCCCTTCCCATTTCCCTCTGCCTCCACTACTTTCTGGCCTTCTAGAATACCTATGCCATCTTTGAATCCTAGTTTTTTCTTCTTTCTTTGTGACAGTGTAGCCCAACTTGGCTTTAAACTCACTATGTAGCCCAGGCTGGCCTCAGTGATTGCCCTGCCTCAGCTTCCCAAGTTCTAGAATTACAGACACGAGCTGCCACACCTGGCTGAGCCCATTGTTTTCAAACCTTGGGCACAGCTGCCTGGCAAACGAAGCGGGTAACATCCTCCTTCGAGGAGTTGCTGGTGGTGGCAGTGACCAAGAGCAAGCCTGGGGTTTCCGGGTGCCGCACGAAAGAAAGGTCCAGCCGAACGCCCTCGCGCTCAAACACTCTGAGACCGGGGATGGGCGCTGGAGAAGGGAGAGAGGGCACAGGCTGGGCACAGCACGCGCTTTCACTCATCCGATAAAAACAGCAAGCGAATCTCGGCCCTGCATTGTCCCACATCGAATGAGGAACTAGACACACTGAGGTTGGAGCAGGCCAGCTAGTGGGGGGGTGGGGGGAGGGGAGAAACGACAAAATACCAAATACCCGTCACCACGACGTTACAAACAAGAGTCAAAAGTTCCCGGGAAGAACAAGTTAAACAGGAAAGCAGGAGAGGGAGGTAGCCGGCTGCCATTTAGCTGAAGCTGGAAGAGCTTCAGTCCTTGAAATGCCAAGTGCTTGAGGTGGAAGGATTCGGGGAGCTGAAGGGACCAGCGGAGTGGGTGGTGGGAAGTGACACAGCCTGGGGCAGAAACAGGAACAGAGTCGGGAAAGAAATACGACAAGGGAGATCGTCAGAGAGAAACAAGATGGAACCAGCGTGGAACAAAGCCTCACCTACTCAGACGGGTGTCTCCATCCTTGGCTCAGAAAGAGAAATGACACATTTCCACCCACCTTCTAGAAAGTACCACCCTTTGCTGAGGCTTACCAGGGGGCGGAGGTGCACAGGGAAGGTCGAGGAGGTGTGCTAAGGCTTCCCCCTGGGGAAGGAGCCAGAGGAGGAAGATGCTGCGCATGCCCAGGAGTGTCGTCCAGGAGATCCAGCAGATCCAAGAGTTTAGCGGCCTGGGGAAAGGGCAGGAGGGTCATGTATGGCGTGGGCACCCACAAGTGCCCTTCACCCAGGCCTTCAAGCCTCCTCACCTGGGGCTCTGTGGGCACGGGCGCTGCTGCTTCCAGGATCTGGGCCCCTGCTTTGTTTTCCTTCCTTTCGTCAACACCTTGCGAGTCGCTTCGCTCCACAAGAGGCATCTTTTCAAGGATCGCAGCCCTGAGAGGATGGAACGCGAGCCCTATACTTTCACAGGAGCATTTGGGAAGAAGACTAAGAACACAGAGGAGCCCCGGGCATGCAGGGTCCCAAGTGCCGCTCTGGTTTCCTAAGACGGTGCACTGTTGCTGGTCTTTAGACGACCAATGAGGATTGATTGGGAACCTGCTGAGGGTCAGCTGTGGATGGAAGGTGCTCGCCACAGAGAGCAAGGATATGAGAGGTGTCCACTCTCCACTCCCGTATCTAGAAGGGAGCACTGGGAGGGGACAGAGTTTGGAGTTCTCCATGTGGGTCTCTGCACATACCTCATGTGGTCATACTTCTGGAAGAGGACGTTATACTCCACAGCCCGCTGTTGAAGCTCTATGTCCACACAGCTCCCGTAGATGGACACCACCTGGCGGATACGACTGGGCCACAGCGTGGCATGTGAGAGGCAGCCAGCTTGCTCTCCCACTCCAGCATACGAGGGAAGGGAGGAGCCTCCCAGAGTCAGGAGGCGTCTATTATAAGTGGCTCAAAAGCAGATTCCTAAGTGCTGGGGGAGGGGAAGTGGGATGCACGCCTGGAGAGTCCAAAGAGTAGTAGTCACGGTGCAGGGGCACGTTTAAGGGCTGGGACCTCCCTCTTACTTGTTATCCCCCCGGAGCCGGGTGCTGAGTTTCATGAGCGCTGTGATGGCGTAGCCTCGGGTGGCGGGTAGGGACATGTGGGACTGCAGCAGCTTTTCCAGCAGCGCTAGCACCTCCTCCTCTCCCACCTTCGGGTGTGCACGACCGGTCATGACCACAGGTCATGTCTGTCCTGACCAATCCTCCCAGGGCTCCTCTCACTCCTCAGATCTTACCTGAAAAGGCTCGGTTTCCTCACAGTTACCCTCCAGCAGGAGGTCCCCATACTCGCCAATGCACCAGGCTGCCACCTGAGCCAGTGGTTGCTGTATGAGGGACAAGACACCTGAGCTAGTCGGGGGCTTCCTCTTGTCTAGACCCTACAGTGTCCCTTTACTGCAGTGCAAAGATGGTGGCGTTGGCCGGGTAAGGTTGGAGGGAAAGGTTAAGTTTGTTAGCAGCAGGCTGTCTTGGCATTTTGGCGCCTACTGCCCTCTGGTGGGCATGAACTAAAACTACATGGCCTGGTCACATGGCCTGGGAGGCCGGCTCTCATGAGGAAACAGGGTTAAGTTGACAAAGGGCAGTTACAGGTACCGGCTGGCACCTGTTAATCCACTCGGCATCGGAGGCAATAACAGAAACGAACACGTGTGCCAAGCTCTAGTATATCTCATTTGATCCCAAAGGCGGTCTGGGAGATGGGCATTCTGGAAGGTTGAGTATGTGGAGCCCAAAGAAAGCTAAATTATTCATCTGGAGCTGCAGTCAGTAGGCACCAGGCCAGGACAGAAGAATAAGCAAAAGGCGAGCTTTGTGCTCGACCATCTTCTGGCCCCTGTGCTTGGGGGAAAACCATTCAAAATGTAGTGTTGAAAAGGCTGGTCAGCTGGGCCCGGGGAGAGGGAGCGAGACCTGGGAGATGTCCTCTGCTAAGGCACTGTAGAGGCGGCGCACTGAGTAGGCATGGAGTTCCTGGGCCTCCCCAATCAGCTGGGTCAGGTTGGCCACTGCGTCGTCCCTCACATGGGTGCCTGCCTGGAGAGGGGTGGATACGGCCAAGTCAGAGCAGTGAGATCTGCCCACTCCTCCCCAACCCCCTGACGACCCCCATCTCACCGTGGTCAGCACGTGCAAGATGGTGTCTATGTGCCACCGCTTGCTGGGAGCAAACCTAGGGGGCGCGACTCGTCAGTCCTGCCACCATCCCTCTCCAGGCCGCACCCTCTGACTCCACCTCACCTCTCTGCAGCCAATAGGATGCCTGAAGCACAATCAGCCCGAAGATCAGGGGGGCAGGATTCCAGAAAGGCCTGTAGCTCCTGCATCATGGCTCGAACATTGGAGCTGTTCACCAGAGCCAGGCTCAGCTCCAGGGCCCGCCTGGCAGGAGAGAGGCGGCCATGCAGATGGCCCAGGTCACCCTGCTCTAGCTCCACGGTTCCAGGTACCTTTAGTTCTTACTCCAGGAGCTGTGCGTTAGGGCCACCGGGCACCGTGTCCTCTGCCCTGTCCCCTTCTCCCTCTGCTTACCTGCTCAGGGAGGCATCTGTTTCCTGTAGACACTCTACTACAGTGGACCGGTGACGTTGCACAGCACTGTGATCAGACTGCACCAGCCGAAGCAATGACGTCAGGGCCACATACCTGGTCAGAGTAAGGGAGGCCCTGTCACATGAGGTCCTCTGCCTTGACACCCTGTGTTGCCTCCAGCATAGGTCAGAGTCCGGCGGATCAAGACGGAGGAATGCAGAGGGCCAGGTGTATAGTGGGACAGTCTAGCCAGACTCTGGGGTTGTTACCTAATATTCTTGTCATTGTTGAGCAAGAAACGGCCAAGAATGTTAACAGCTAGAACCTATGGGAAGAAGGTGGAGGCGGTCAGAGAACAGGCCACCTGCTCAGTGGGGACGTTGGGGAAAGCCAGCAACCAGGACCAGCTGGGTAGGCAGAGCTGCCGCTGGACGGCACATGGGTATATACGGTACCCGGAGGCCAGCTGCAGAGTGGATGTCCATGATGGTAAGCACTGTCTCCAACAGGACTGCGTTGCCTGCATTTCGGCTGGTGTCTGTGTTGGTGGCGACCTGTGTGGATGGTGGCAGAGCTCCATCTGCACAGAGGTCTATACTCCCTGTGATTTCTGGAAGGCGACTACTATGTTCTCTGTTCCCTTCTGCCCCTAACAAAGTTCCCTGAGCCCTACTCTATGTTAGATCTGCCTGCACACTAGGGTAATAGAGCAATGGCAGACTATATCCTTCCTTCATGGAATTCATTGGTCATGTGAGGGATGTCCAGGGCTGATGACCCTAAGGAACCACATGCCTAGGGTGCCTCTCACCTGGGCCAGCAAGTCATTCATGGCCTCACTGCTTTCTTCATGGTTCCGACCCAGGATCCGAAGCAGACGAAGTATCTGAACCTGAGATTGGATTAGAGGGGTTTACAGGACAATGCCATGGGTCTGAAGTGAGAAGACCTCACACTGTGGGCAACACTGAGGATTCTGACCCCCACCACTTCTCACAGCCCCCGGGAGGAGAGATCAGAGTTGTGTAGAGTCAGGGGAGTTTGGAACAAGCCTTTTCTGA